GCAAGTTTGTTAATCATGTTCAAATTGATTTTGTGCCTTAATTTGGTGATTAGAGGTCACATTGACCAAATTCAATTCTGACTTCAAGTGAAAACTCAGCTTTGAAATTCAAACTTTACAACCATGGTTCTCACAATGTAGGAGGCTTTATAAGTTGATTCTTCTTACATTGGATAGAGGGAGATGCAATCTTTATAATGTGAAAATAAATATTTATTTGGCAATCTGAGCTGAGAGATATGAATCTTCAAAGTAGTTTTGATGACTTTCTAAGCACAATTGGACCTTTCCCTACAAAGAGAGTTTGTTGGAGATAATGAGAAGAGCCCGTTAGAAAAATAACCATTTCGAGATGTTGAAAATTGAAGAAGTTATGCACATTTGATCATAGCATCCACAATTTGCTAAATTAGGTCAAACACCTTGAACCAACTTTGAATCTCTTGAACATTTCTTTCAAATTAATGCATGGTGAGCCACATATTAACTTGAAATGATGATGTCTTGAAGCACGCTTGATGATGAGGGGCCCTTTGGGGCTTGAGAATGCTACAAAGTCAAGAAGAAAACCTTGCTTGAGGTTGAAGAATCATGCTCTTCTTCTTGAGAATCAAACCGTGATACCTTGATCCCTTGTCTAGAACTATGTTATGCAAAAATGAATATGAAAATGAAATGAAACATAAGCCAATATACAAGAGAAAAGAAGGGAAAATTTTTGGGTGCTACAATATGCTCTAGTGGATTCGCAAGGAGGCATCCAAATTGCAGTTTGGTGTTGTAATCGGAAGGTCCGATAATAGTTCAGATAAAAGAGTTGCATTTGTAACAAAGATATGTGAAAGAAATGTAAATTACAAAACTCCTCCGAAAATTCAAACGACATACATTGGTTCAAGAAAATGTGAGTGTCCCTTTAAGTTGCGTGGTTATCTTTTGGAAAATGACAAACAAAGATTTATTGTGATTTCTAGTTGGCATAATCATGACATGTGTAACAGGTTATTCAGACATCCTATTGTATGTCGCCTTATGTCGGAAGAGAAGGAAGTTTCAGATATGACATTGAATATGGTGCAGCCCAAAAACATACTTTCAACTTTGAAATGTAAAAGACATGTAAATATCTCAAATATCAAGCAAGTATACAATATATGTTTCCTTAACATAAAGGCGTTAAGGGGGAGGGGATAGAACTGAAATGCAAAAATTGTTTAAACTTCTGGATGATAACAATTATGTATCTAGGTACCGAATGTGTGAGGATGGAGTAACCGTTCGAAATATATTTTGGAGTTATCCTGATTCCATAAAGTTGTTCAACATGTTTTCTGTTGTACTCATCATTGATTCAATGTATATGACCAACAAGTACAAGCTTCTACTGATAGAAATTATTGGTGTTACCTCTACCAAGAAGAGTTATTTTACCGGGTTTGCATTTTTAGAGAGCGAACAAGAGGAAAACATTACTAGAGATTTAGAAGTGTATCAGCCAATAATGAAGGACAAAAATCGAATTCATTAATAAGATGCAGGCTTTTATGCACAAATACATTGAACAGATCGTCAATGTTGAGGGTGACGGTAATTTCGGTTTTCAAGTTGTTTCTGCTTTGCTCAGCAAAGGAGAAGAGGATCATACATTTTCCCGCCAACAACTTGTCAAAAGATTTGAAGGGTCATAATGAGTCATACACACAGCTATACGGGAAAAAATCAAACTTTGATGTAATTTATGAATCTTTTGTTCCTTGCATTAGTGGACTGGTACCGAAGAAAAAATGGACGTGCTTCTTTAAAATGGTTCATCTTATAGCAAGTGGATATGATAGATTGTATATTGATCTGACAAGATGCGGTTTCTCAAAAACATTTTTTATATTGCGCATTGCACCACCTCAAAGTCCAAATGATTGTATTATGTATTGGGTGGCTTTTAAAAATGCAGCACTTTTTTTAAGTTTAGTTGAAATAGGGATGTCCTATACCACTGACATCACCGGAGTGGAGAACTCATTCAACAAAAAAATCTGAGACTTTCAAATAAACAAAAGTCAAAAGTAATATCTCCCATAGATATAGATTTAGTTGATGACACATGTTTTGATTCATTTCAATTTATTCAACGGTGTATTTATGTGGTTAGACATGTTTTATATGTAATTTTGTTTTAAAATTATGATTTTTAATATATATATATATATATATATATATATATATATATATATATATATATATATATATATATATATATATATATATATATATATATATATATATATATATATATATATATGTTTAAGTTTCCAAAATATTTATCCATTTTCAATTATAAAATAGATTATGTTTCTGACTATTTCTAAAACGGATTATGTGTTGGTGGTTCTGAAAATGCATTTCTGAAAGATCATGATAAGGTGATTCAGGAAATACATTTTCGAAATTTTTCCTGGTGCATGATAGAATTTATATTGTCCATATTTGCCTAGAAGTTGTATAAATGAGTCTCTCGTCTCATACAAAATCACATTACACTAGAATGAACATTATTTCGCATATCGCATATGTCTACTTCAACCACACAGAACCCTCAAATGAATTTACGTTCACATAGTAAACCCCTCTTGTGGATCTGAATTTCATACTAGAGAATATCCTACAATACTCATACAATCAAAATTTTGTGAAATTCGAGTTCACCCTCGATTGACAACGGAGAAAAGATTCGGTTTAACAACTTTGAGTTAAAGATGAATGTTATTTAAAGGTTGTGTGAAATACATTTACCTGTTATAAAACAAAAGGTCTGATCAGACTGGATACGACGATTGCAAAATCGATCAAAGATATTATAAAGATGTTGAAACGTCCATCTTGATTTTCAAATGTAATGTTCAATTTATGATAATGATTATCTATGTAATATTTTATTTTTTATACTATCAATGTTAATTTATCTTCGTTTCATCATCTGTTTCATTTTTGCATTTGTTTCTGGTTCAATGGATTCCAAAAATACACTTCCGTAATGTTTACGAAGATGCATTTTCAAATTAAAATTAATCAAATAATTGAATTGTGACTTAAAAAGAAATAGATCATGTATGTTTAAATCGCATTCAAAGATATATTTCCAAATTCTATATGTAATTTTGATTTTTCACGTGGAATAAGAAGCAATCTTTAAGATGCATTATACAATATGTCAAGTTGGAGATAGGGTCACATACTCCTCATGGGCTGGCCCAAATAGAATGCAGACTTTCAGCTCTTCAATCTCAATCTTTTAACAAAAAAAGAAGACTAGTTTTTAAATGCTTTTTATACTGATTTTTATACTGATCCTAATGTGAGTACGCGTATAATTATTTGCTTCAATTTGAAAAGGATATCTGATAATATGCAGGTTGAGTAGTTAGTAGCTGGAGACATCAATGACATTACAGGCAACTGATAAGAAGTGTTGTTGCGTGTCTTTTTATCAGAGGAAAAGAAGACTTTCAACTCTTGTATCTCAACATTGGTCATGGAAGCTATTGTGTCTAAGTTTACCTTGAGAGTCCTTTTTCGATTAGAATAACAGAACTTCTGAAAAACAGAAAATAAATAAGTTGTTTTTAGTAAATGGTGTGGAAAACACCTGAACCTTGTTATTTTCTGCAATTTTGTCAAGATATTTATTGCAGCGGTTAATAAGACTAATGGGTAAGTATGAATTTGTCTCTCAATTTCTTCCTATTTCTCTATCAATGTTATTCAATATTTACAATAATCAAACTAATCTTTCATTTGTATTCATCTCTATCATAAATAGAGTCATCTATTCTCACAAAAATAAAGACCATATCTATCATAAATAGAGTCATCAATTCTCAAAAATAAAGATCTTCAAAAGTGAATCAACACCATAGGAACAACAATCCATTACTAGCATCTTATCTATAGACTAGAAATTAAAGACCGCATAATATCCCACTCTGTGTAAAGCTATTGGCTTCACATTTTTGTGTGGATATGATGAATGTATAGTGACTAAACATTAAGTGGAAAACAACTTTATCAATTTAATTATGATGACACAAAAAATAGAGCTAAAGTAATACTCTATGACCACTAACTACAGCACTGGTTGTCATGAGATATAGAGTGTAAACTGTAAAGGGTCCATTTCCCTTCCAACAAAACAAAAAATGGTTACAGACACAACTAAAGTACAGGGCCGTCGTAAAGTAAAGGCTCGTCTTAAAACCGTGCAAGAAAATTATACATGACACAACTAAAGTATGGAGTCATGTGCAAGAAAATTATACATGACACAACTAAAGTACGGAGTCATCTTGAAGCCGTGCAATAGATATATTTAAACCATACTGAACCTAACCTAAACAAACTCTCCAAAAACTTGAAACGACTAGGCTACCGTAGAGAGACGAGATTCATCGATATTCCAAGAATAAGTGTCATTTTGTAATCTTAACTTGAACTATAGATACATTCAGAGGTAGCATTGGTATGAAACAGTACCATATACTATAAAATTGTTCAATAATTTTGGCACCAAAAGGGAAATGGCTTGAGACACAATCCAAATGAGCAAAGATTAACATCCAATATTATACTTATTCAAAAAAACAAGAGATCCAACATAACAATTAGAATTCAATACTCAAACAAGAATGGTTCTAGTTTATGAAGAATCCACTGACTCAACATACTAGTTTAAACACTAGAATAACCTTGGATGTCTAAAACAAGTATCAGCATATTACAAGCCACAAAAAGCTAGCTTCTTCTTTCTTTTTTTTCTTTTTTTTCTTTTTCTTTTTTTTTTCCTTCCAACATCTAACACAGTTCAAAAACATAAGAAGCAAAAACATGATAGCCTTATTTAAATCAAATATAAGAAACAACTAAAAAACACTAGTAAGATAAGATAAAGATAAAACCCTTTCAGATAGAAATTTCCATGCAAAAGAGAAAAACCTCCGTGAAACCATTCATTCAGACCGATTGGCGAACCTCTCGACATTGTGATCAGTCAAATTAAGCCCAACCATAGCTTCACCCAATCCACAACTAACCTCAGCCAAAACCTCAGGATCACTGTAATGAGTAACAGCCTGAACAATCGCCCGAGCCCGTTTCGCAGGGTCGCCACTCTTGAAAACACCAGAACCAACAAAAACACCATCACAACCAAGCTGCATCATCAACGCCGCATCCGCCGGTGTAGCAACACCACCGGCGGCAAACTGAACAACTGGAAGCCTCCCGAGTTGCTTCGTCTGCATAACAAGATCATAAGGAGCAGCAATTTTCTTGGAGAAAGTGAAAACCTCATCGTCATCCATGTTTGCAAGAACCCTAATATCACCGAGAACAGACCTTACATGTCTAACAGCTTCAATGATGTTACCGGTCCCGGCTTCACCTTTGGTACGAATCATGGCAGCTCCCTCTCTGATACGACGGAGAGCTTCCCCGAGGTTCCGACAACCGCAAACGAAAGGGATACGGAAGTTATGTTTGTTGATGTGGTTATCTTCATCAGCTAGGGTTAGAACCTCGCTCTCATCGACGTAATCGATTCCGATAGCTTCGAGGATCTGAGCTTCAACGAAGTGACCGATACGGGCTTTGGCCATGACAGGGATAGTGACTGCCTGTTTGATTTCTTTGATGAGCTGAGGGTCGCTCATACGAGCGACGCCGCCTTGGGCGCGGATGTCGGCGGGGACACGCTCAAGAGCCATGACAGCGCATGCGCCGGCTTCTTCAGCGATGCGGGCTTGTTCGGCGTTGACGACGTCCATAATGACGCCACCGCGGAGCATTTGGGCGAGGCCGACTTTGACGGAGAAAGGGGAGGATTTCTTGGCAGTTTCGGTGAGGGCGCCGTTGCCGTAAACAGTAACGACTCCAGATCCTTCCATTGTGATGGTGAGAAAAAGATGAAATGAAAATGAAGTTTCTGGAAATGATGAAGGCGGTGGAGATTGAGGATGAGGAAGGGAGGGGCGTGAGAGGGTTATGTAGTGCTCAAATCTATCAATTAATATCTGCCTTCACTACTCTGAATCATATCCAGCCACGCAATTATTTTTATAATAATAAAATTTTAGTTTTTATACATTAAAATATATGCCAAATATTATCATAATTTTATATTAAATCACCAAACCATTAAACTTTGCTCTATTATCTAGAGGAGAAGCCATTTAAACCTCCTCAACCACGCTATTAGTAAGTGAAGAATTTGGATCTCTCATTTTGTTTCTTCTATTCAATTTTAGTCATTCTTTGATTTTTATTTTTTTTAACTAATCAAATTTCTTAGGTCACTTAGTTAAATTGTTTTTGTTTTTATAAAAGAAAATGAATTTGACATTTTCCTTAAAGTAATTTAAAATTTTAATTGTAGATTCAATAAATCAACTTAAACAAATTATTAGTAGAGCTAAAAAAATTTACATTTAGGATTGTGAGGCTTTATATATAAATTGTGATGTATTTATTGAGTATACAAATAAATATTTTTATCATACATTATTTAATTCTATTTTTAAATGATTTTATTATCAGATTTATGTATCTGTTTGATTTCATACTTCATTAATTTTTATAGTATAATATTATACTTTAAAGTATAATATTTTTTAAAATTAATTTAAATAGCTATTATCAAATAGTATTTTAAGTATTTCATCATTTTATTATAACTTTTTTTTAGATATTAAAATTTTATAAAATCACTTAAATTGAAAATTATTTTAAATAATTTTTTATAAAAATTATTTTTGGGATATATGGTTTTGAAAAAAATGTGTGATTTTAACTATGTTTTAATTTTTAATAATATATATTTATGTTATAAGATGTCAAAATTAATTATTTAATTTATAAAAATTAAATTTTTTTTTAATATTTTTAAAAATTATTTTTAGAAGTATAAAGAAAAACTTTTTTTAACTTAAAATACTTCGAAATAAAACATATGTACACTTGTTTAAAATTGTCGACTTCTATATCATCCATATTATTTCTGTATTAAAATATTATTTCTGATTTTAAGTTCATGTATTAATAATGTTAATAAAATATTTAAAAAATAATTAAAATATAGTTGTTGTATATTGTAGATGTAAATTGTTTTATATTGTGTATTTTATAATTCATAGATATAACTTCATAAATAGTTATGATAAAAAAATAAATGTTTTTAAAGTTGTAATTGAGCGATTTGTAAAAGAAAAATTATGCTAAAACTGAATATTCATCCAATAATATTTTTATGATCATACTGTGATATTTTTATTATTATCCTAAGAAGGAAAATATAAAATGCAAGCTCATTACATTAAGATTGTGTGAGTGTTTAGAGCGGGATGGAAAATCGTCCCGACATTAAGCATAAGGCCGCACAAATTTGATCAACATGTAAGGTCCTTGTTGCGGTTAGAATATGATATCAAATTATTAATTAATTTGAATCGCATCTTTAGTTCACAACCGCTCTTTGATTTATCCGAAGGAAAAGGTCAAAAGAGGAAAACCTAATTTTGCATCGTAAAGACAATGCGGGGAGAGATCTAGGTAAGGGGTTGGTTAAGCTCAGGGAAGGTACTAGCACCCTAAACTTCTGTAGTACTCTACAGGAACCTTTTGTTTATCGTATGCTTTTTTATTTTATTTTATTATCTGTTTTAATATATATTGAGCTAAGGGATAGAGTGACCTAAAGACCTAAGGGTTAGTCCTAAGTTTACTCGGCAAGACGTCGCATCTTGTGCCTACATATCCTGACGGGAATGGAATCAGAGTAATTGTAGTTCCCCTCGAAAGGGAGGTTAGAAACGTCTTGACTGTGGTCAAGGTTTCAATGGGGAATAAACGTATCTTAAGGACACGCTTATGTGGAGTCTTTGAAACTCCTATTTCTACGTTGAATTTGTTAATTAAAAATTTAGGGTTGAAATTAGGGATTCCACGGCGGGAAACCCTAAAACAAAGTACGGCGACTCTTTGACCTAAAACTAGGGTAAAGGGTATTTTTGTCCACGGCGGGACGCCTAGGTTAATTAGGGTTTGAGAAGGCTAAAACTAGGGTTATTGACTCGGCGGTCAAACAACTAGACCTAATTCCTTCGGAGGGAATTCTAACGGTAAAACATGCAAACATGACAAAATATTATACGGCAAAATTAAAGTGCGGAAAGTAAAGAAAGCGTCGCGACGATCACTCGCGTAAATTACAAATCCCAAAAAAAACAAAAACAAAATAAATCGCGACCATGGCCTCGCGTAAATTACATCCATGGAACAAAATAAATTAAAATAAATATGAATCATAATCTATGTATAATCTGAGGAGAGAAACAGAGAACGTTAGTGAAAAGTTAGACGAAAATATGGCAAACACATTTTATATTAAAAGAAACACGAAAATGCAATTTGGAATTTCTATTATTGTTTTGTTTATTTTTATATTTTGTTTTTATTAAAATTTTAGCCTTAATTTTAAAAGGTTTTAATTTTTAAATAAACAAAACTTTAGTTTTAACTTTTTATCTTTAGAAAGTTTTAATTTTAATTTTAATTTTTAAAAGAGAAAGTCTTAAAAAAACTCTAATCATAAGTTTTTTTTTAAAGAAGAAGTTTACATAAAAAAAAAGGTTCGTTAGTCTTACTTTAAAAGAATGTTAGTTTTAAAATTTTAAAGAAAGTTTTAGAAAAAAGTTTTAACCCTTTCTAACATGTTTTAATTTTTAATCTTTAAAACTTAAAAAAAATGTTAATTTTAATACTTAAAAAAAGTTTTAATTTTAGGACTGGGTTAATTTTAAGTTAGTAAAAATGTTTTCACTTAACTATAAAAGTGTTTTAAACACTGTTTATTTATTAAAAAAAATTATTAGTGGTTAGTGTTTTAATTAAGAAAAAGTTTTAAGTTTTTTTACTTACTGTAATTATAATCAAAAACTGGTTTTAGTTATAATTCACAAAAAGGGTTTTTAGTTAGAAAAAAAAAGAAAAGGTTTAAAAAATGAAATGAGAGTTTAATTATTTGGAAGAGGTTTTAATTGGGATAACATAAAAGCTTACATTTCAGTTGCCGATTGGTGATGCTTTCGCTTGTTCTTCGCCGGCGGCAATGGTTCTCGACGAACTTCTTTGGATCTTTTTTCCTCTTTCTCAAATGGAGGTGATGATGATGAGCTGCGAAACTCTTCTGAACCTCCGGATCTTGACGACCGCCGTTTTTCTTTTTGTCTCCTTTTCTGATGACCTGTTCTTGATTTTCTGATGTGAATGAAGTTTCCTCCCATCACTTATGTTTATATAGGTAACAAATTAGGGTTAGCTCTAACCTAATTCCCACTTTAAAGCCCAACTTAAAGAATTAGTCAAAACTAAATTAAAACAAACTTAAAACAACTTAAAACTCTATTTATTTACTAAATATAATAAAATATTTTCTAATATTTTTGATTTTTTGATTTTTTGATGTTTTTTATGAATAATATGGAAAAAAGTGAAAAATAATATTTTTAAAAAAATAATTTAAATAAAATACGAAAATAATAATTAAATAATAAAAAAAAACTATTTTGTTATTTTTTTTATATAAAAATAGAAAAGTTAGAATAAAAATAAAAGAAAAACAAAAAGTGAAGAAGGTGGGATTCGAACTCTCAACCTCTCACACTCACAACTCCTTACACACGGTCTCTTGCCAATTGTGCCATTTTATTCATTCAAAATAAAGTGGCACTAGAAACTATGTAAAGGTAGGACAAATTTGGGGTGCAACAGATGCCCCTATTTAAATAGCTTCACCGGATGATTTGAGCAGCGGAGACTCGAGAAATCGCGGTGAAAGGGATTTAAATACAGATAACCGAAAATTTGGCCTCTAGATGCAGTGATATGCAATGATATGGACAAAATAACACGAACTATAATGCTGACAATGCCATGAATCTAATATGATGCGTATGATGGAATGATGAATGCAAGGATGCAGACGACACGATGTCATAGGGGACAGCGCAACGAAGAATTGCACTGGGGAAGTAGACATGCGGTGGTGACAAGGTAACATAGGATCCACACGGAGGCAGGACCAGGTAAACGACAGACGCTAGAGTTTTCGGGACATTCCTTGAAGAGATCGAGCGGGATCTTCAGGACTCACCAGAAAACATATAGGGAGAGACAACATCAGAACATTTCGGAAGAACATCGAAAAGGAGACACGTCGTATCTGGAAGAACGTCAGATAGACATGACACGAAATAGTCGATGGGTGCCAAGTAAACTGGACTTTGTCCACAAGGTAAGACGCGGATAAAACACGACCTCGGGGATAAAAATGCGAATGGGGATAAAACACCCATGCTGCCAAGTAACTAAATTCGTCCACAAGGTAAGACGCGGATAAAACACGACCTCGGGGAGAAAAATGCAAATGGGGATAAAGCACCCATGATGCCAAGTAACTAAATTCGTCCACAAGGTAAGACGCGGGTAAAACACGACCTCGGGAGAAGAAGCAAATGGGGATAAAACACCCATGATGCCAAGTAAATAAATTTTGCCCACAAGGTAAGACGCGAGTAAAACACGACCTCAGGGAAAAAAAAGTAAATGGGGGTAAAACACCATGATGTTAGGTAAACCCAGGAATATCTGGTAAACGGGGAATAAAACACCCGGGATAAAGGTACATGGGGGATAAAACACCCAAGGATAGAAGGTAAGTGGGGAGTAAAGCACCCAAGATAGACATGTAAATGGGGAGTAAAGCACCCAGGATAGAAATGTAAATGGGGAGTAAAGCACCCAAGATAAAAATGTAAATGGGGAGTAAAGCACCCAAGATAGAAATATAAATGGGGAGTAAAGCACCCAAGATGTGCACATGTATAGGAAT